TGAAGAAGAGAAATGAAAATAAAAGCAAGGTAAGAATGGGGCTCAAAATTCGTTCTCACTCAAATCGATAAGAAGTTATAGTTGTGGAATATGAGTCAATGCTCAACTAGTTCGAAGGCTATATCTTGGTCGTATAACATAATGAAAATGTATCGGACTACAAGTCCTCACATCAAATTAAGAACATTAAGATTTCCTGTAAAATTTCGAGCAAATTGACGTTTGAATACAAAAAGTGAAAAAGTACCCAAAAAAAAAATTGTTAAGAGAAAGTATAGATAAATATTTTCTTAAATATTGCAGTACACATGTTATTTTTCCTTCTAGTCTCTAAAACATCATCTAGATATAAAACATCATTGAAGCACATAATATCTCATATATAGAGGAAAATCTCAGGGGATTTCTACTATTCTTAGATAAGAAAATTATAAGATATAGATAATTTTAAATGGTCGAAAATACATAGATGAGTGTGTATTATATTTTTTCTATTATATGTATGATCTGTTAACTCCGACAATGTCAATAATTTTGACCATCGTATGTGATTTATTAACTCCCAAGGTTTCAAAGATCGACATTGAAATGGTGGAGTGTACTTGTTTTAGTGAACATAGGGATGGACAAATTAATCGCCTATCCTATTAACCTGAATGACTCAAATTGGATGGTGATTTAACAATTAAGAAGCGATCCTATTCAACTCAACCCAATTCAACTCGTTTCCTTAAAGAGTTTTTTGAAAAATCATTTAAATACTTGTAGTTGACAAAATTACTTATAATTGCACTACAAGATATAAAAATTAAAATTTGAGTAATGTTATTCATAGCAAAGACTATTAATAGTCGTCCTAAAGTCTTCATTGTGAATAGCTATGACATTAATGTATCAAACAATAAAGCTACACATATATGCCACATAGGCAACTACCAATAGTTTTGCACTATGAATAGCTTTATCCTTAAGATTTTGCTGTATATTTAATTTAATAACCACGATTTATTAGGACTGCTATCTAAAACTCATTCCAAGAATTCTAAATTCAAATTCCAAAAAGACTCCAACAACATGCTTCACTTATGATCAGCTAATTTTTTAAGACATCAACAATATATAGACTCTTTTTAGTGGGGATTAAAATCAGATTTTTATTAGATTTTGATAAAAGTTGATGAAATGTGTAGTTGAAAAAGTTGTGAATCCTAATGTTATTCAAATTAATTGTTAACTTTGACTTAAATTAAAATCTGAATTTTAATCCTTCTGAAACCAAAAATTCTACTGAACCAATAAAATAGTAACACAAGTCGTCTCCACTGCCATCATTGTTGTCAACCACACCCGTCATCATATTAGCACCAGCTCTTTTTACCGTCACCTTTACAATCACCAAATCTGCACCATCACCGCAACCAACACCACAAGTCTCCATCAACACCACCACCAACACTGCCTCAAATATGATTAATTGCAACCAAGCACCATCCCCACACTACGCAACAACGTTGCACAATTTACAATCAACTACTCAAGTGTCATGTTCATGACACAATATGAAATAACATAGTTCAATGTGGGACAACTTGTAACAAGATTATCTTGTTTGAATTAATGCATAATTCTGCAAGTTTCCCAGGAGTATATAGTTGGAGCATTAGGGGAATGATGAAACATTAAGTGTAGATATATTCAATAATTTGAATTTTCACAGTTAAGTTATAGTTAAAAAATTGATGTAATGTAATAGGCTCATAGCTATATAAGTTAAGCAAATTGATACAGAATCTAACTTTAGTTTACCCACTAAACAGAGACAAGATCGAATCATAACGGCGTTGGAAAAAATATTAATTTGTCATGAGGGTCGACATATGTAATTAATTGTATATAAATGCTATTTTAAAATTAAGCCCAAAATTAAAGTGATTTAATAAAGAATGAAGTAACTGGGCTTTTGAACATCTACATAAAGTGTGGGCCAAATTATAAATGTAGAGATCGGATCCATTAGAGTTGTATTTTACGATGGGCTAAATCGAATACATACTGAAATTATATATAGAGTCATGTCCCCCAATTCATATGTTATTTTTCTCATTTTTTGTGCCATCACACTAATACAAGAATTCAAAGAGAAAGCATATTAGAGAGGAAGATAAAAAAAACCTGCATAAATAAAGAAATTCAAGAATCAAGAAAAAGGGTTTGAGCAAGCAAATTGAAGAACAAGAAATCAAGGTTAAAGATCTAGAAGTCAAGATTAAAGTATTTCAATTCAAGTTTGAAGATGCAATATTCAAGATACAAATCAATGGATCAAGGTATGTTCCACATTAATTAATTTTCTTGGTGATTTGACAAAGAGATATTGGCAATTCAAAATGTTTCGTAAAATGTAAGTTTCATGAAAAATTCAACAAACAGAACAGAACCACTCAGTTTCGATCCAATTCGGTTCCATGATGGTATTCCCATTGGATGTGGTTTTTGTTCCGGTTCCAAAATACCATGATCAAACTGGAAAGCACCCACTCTTAAAAAGGGCATCGTAAGTAATGACGTTCCGATGTATGGTACCTTCACTTCAAGCCTGAAACAAAAATGTGACAGACACCATTTGCCTTCAAGTGCATAACATACATGCAGCAACCCTATTGGACATCATTCAACAATGATGTCGCTCTACATGCGAAGTAAAAGAATAAAAACTAAAAAATGTGAATTACAACGTTAGCAAAATGATGCCCGTATAAGGCAACGGTCAAATGAACAGTTTCTTGATTTTTAAGTCTTTTTTAAGATAGTGCGTGTTGTTTTGAATAAAATTTTAAACTCTCGTTATCATATCTATATTTATTTTAATTTTACATGCTTCTTAACAAATTTAAATACTCTCTAATGGGATTCTACATTGCATTTATGTCATTGTAATGTTTCAAACTTTTTACCATTTTATGGCTTCTTGTACTTTAAGGGTTTAAAGGCAAATCAAATCTTATTGTGTTGCCGTGGCCCCCAAAAATACAATAATGAAGTCAAGCACAAGTTCTCCATATTGAAAAGATTAGTTGAGCTAAAGAAGTTTTAATGTACTATGATAATCATATAAGATCACATAATCAATCGCAATCGGGACCCAGCTATTATTCAACCTCACGACATTGAACCGTGCTACTTGTACAGGTTCAATCACAAGATTTTTTCACAAACACCACATGACAATGTCTAATTGAAAGTCGTCAAAAAATAAAAAAATAAAAATAAATAAAAAAGAGAGAGAGAGAGAGAACGCAAGTGCTGCTCTATAACAGATCTGTAAACAATTCCCAACTTTTTAGTAGCACACCCTGTGACAATCTTATGACATGAGGCTGGAAAATCATGAAGAAGCCTCGACTCAACTTAACCCAAGACACTAGCAACTTCAAGTAACAAAAATTAGTTTTTAATAGAGCTTTTACTTTTACAGGAAATTACCTTTAAACAACTTCCTCTCAAAACTTTTCTTTAAGACAAAAATTTTTAAAAAATTATCCAAAAAGATTTAAAAACAACTTCTTAGGCCCTGTTTGGTACACATTAATATAAAAATCAGAATGAAAAATATAACTGTTACGAATCCCACACAAAAAATAGAAAGTCAAATATAATAGTTTGATATGATAATAACAATCATATTTTTTATTTTAATGGGCAAATAATGAAAAACAAATGAGGGTTTAATATCAAAATTTTTTGACTTTTTAAAGCCTTGTCGGATGGGCTTAAGAATAATCTTAGGCCTTGTTTGACCTCCATTATTTCCTCATTAAAATAAAAAATATAACATTTATCCATCACATCAAACCACCATATTTAGCTTTTTATCTCTTGTGTGAGATTCATAACGACTATATTTTTCATTCTCATTTTCACAATAATGTGGCTCAAAGGAGGGCTTAATGTGAAGAAATTCGTTTACGAACATCATTATCATCTTCCTATAGTATACTTCATCATTATCCATTTTAGATTGGATAAGAGAGATGGGTGCGTCTTATTTACACACGTAATGTATATAAAATCACAATAGAAGTCATAAGGTTCTCTTTCACGTCAATAGTGAGAAGTTTTTATTCTGCGCACCAAAGCAGGAGATTGGGCTAATTGAATTAGATGGTAGAAGCATTAAAACCATGAATAAGCTTATCATACAAGCCAAATACTATATCTGCAAAGTTGTCTATGAAGTTTAATATCCATTAAAAACCACCGAAAATACATAATTTACTGGCACGAATTCATGAAAACAATCTTCATAACCAGGAAACGCAAGGACAACTTACCTTTAAACAACTTCCTCTCAAAACTTTTCTTTAAGACAAACATTTTAAAAAAATTATCCAAAAAGATTTAAAAACAACTTCTTAGGCCCTGTTTGGTACACATTAATATAAAAATCAGAATGAAAAATATAACTGTTACGAATCCCACACAAAAAATAGAAAGTCAAATATAATAGTTTGATATGATAATAACAATCATATTTTTTATTTTAATGGGCAAATAATGAAAAACAAATGAGGGTTTAATATCAAAATTTTTTGACTTTTTAAAGCCTTGTCGGATGGGCTTAAGAATAATCTTAGGCCTTGTTTGACCTCCATTATTTCCTCATTAAAATAAAAAATATAACATTTATCCATCACATCAAACCACCATATTTAGCTTTTTATCTCTTGTGTGAGATTCATAACGACTATATTTTTCATTCTCATTTTCACAATAATGTGGCTCAAAGGAGGGCTTAATGTGAAGAAATTCGTTTACGAACATCATTATCATCTTCCTATAGTATACTTCATCATTATCCATTTTAGATTGGATAAGAGAGATGGGTGCGTCTTATTTACACACGTAATGTATATAAAATCACAATAGAAGTCATAAGGTTCTCTTTCACGTCAATAGTGAGAAGTTTTTATTCTGCGCACCAAAGCAGGAGATTGGGCTAATTGAATTAGATGGTAGAAGCATTAAAACCATGAATAAGCTTATCATACAAGCCAAATACTATATCTGCAAAGTTGTCTATGAAGTTTAATATCCATTAAAAACCACCGAAAATACATAATTTACTGGCACGAATTCATGAAAACAATCTTCATAACCAGGAAACGCAAGGACAACTCAATTGAATTTAGGAAGAGAACATTATCCATTGACTCTCAAACGCCATACTTGACTCTCAAACGCCATACTCCTTTTATCAAGACCAAGAACCCACAACACCAAATATTTGTATAGAGGCTTCGCTGCAAAAAAAACATCACGTTCGATCACTTGCAATTGTAATAGAAAAATAAACGGATAAATGAAAGCCCGAAAAAAATAAATAAATAAAATAAAATAAAAATACTTACCAAAACAATTAGAGACCCTGATCAATAAGATAATCACCAATCTTCTCAACAACCATGTTGCACTGGCCGGGAGTCATAGGCTCATCATAGATGCCAATTATCAAGGCCTGGGTGGTCTTTTTCACAGTAACACCGCCTGGTCCCTGAATCGAAACAATATATGATAACTTGTCAAGGACAACAGGTTCGGTGCTGTATTTACTACTCCAACTCAATGATTAGGGAATCTGATCCACCCTATAGCTTTAGAAATAATTCCACTTTAAAATGAACTTTGATTAATGCAAACATATATGCCACGTACAATTGCACGACCAGACAACACACACGCTATTAACTAAATGGTTAGGGACCTATAGGCTATAGCTTTCGAAATAAACCCATTCCGATATGAACTTTTCTGATTAATGTCAACACATGCCACATATGAGAGTGCGACTCCTCAACACAAAGGCTATTAACCAGCTTTTTGTTTGCTTCTTTTTACATTTTTAAAAGTTGTAGCCTTCTGCGAATGACACCATTCGTCTCTAATTCAATCAAAATACTGATGACAAGAAGATCCATTACACCATAATATGTGGTACACTCAACTTAAAGACATGAGAGTGCGACTCCTCAAGACAAGAAGATCCATTACACCATAATATGTGACATACCCAGTGTAAGCCTCTACTTATTTATGCTACAGTAATTTCTCTGTTCAAGAATCTTCTTAAAGCGCAAATGGCAATTATAAAAGATAAATAGAAATAGATGTTTACCAAAGTATGTCTACTAAGGACATTCTCGCAGGTATATACTGTGTACTACTAAAGCTCTGGCTAAAGGAACTATATCCTTTTTTCAACGGCTGATAATCCATTTTCCATAACTGAGCAACATTTACAAGATGTATTTGCGATTCTTTATATTATATTAAGAGTGCAAATAGATTAAGAAACAATACCTTCTTCCCTCGGATGACAGCCCCTGGTTCACCTTGAATGACCATGTATTTAGTGGCACCAAGGTACAATCCAGTAGGAGCAAGCGTACCAGGATTCTCAAAGTCATTCATGATTCCGGTTATCTCATCAGGCTTGAACTATATGACAGAATCGATAAAGAAAGATAGAAAGGACTTCAGTGCATCCATAAATAGATCGCAATACGCTTCACACAAAGAATAGTATACATTGGTAATAGAAAATTATCATCATTGAATTATCAGTGTCTTTCCACTGGACAACAATTTCATTTTTCATACAAATTCATGTCCATATCTACCAGATATATATTATCAACTTCCATACTGCAATAATCAAATACTACTAAAATATTTAGAATTATTCAACAAAAGTCTTCATATGAAACTCGGTGCAACAAAAAGGATATAACATCTTACATCTCTGTTAAATAAATCAAAAGATTTCGCGTTCTAAGTAATCAACATATGAACATGATTAAGTAGTCCTTAACTTGATTATTTTCAATCAAAACTCTAAACACGATCAAGAAATTAATAAAAACAAACAAACCAATAACTGGATCGAACAAAGCCAAAGTCAATAAGAAACATAAATCGAGTTCAACCCAATAAAGAAAGTGCAGAAAAACAACTGGTATCATCAGATCTCCAAAATCAGATCATAAAATGAAAAACCCACAAAAAATTAGATCCAAAAAACAATCTTTCAGACCTGAGGGAAGTTGGCGCTCTGAGCCCAGACGCTGCCGTCATGGCCGACGATGGCGGCAGAGGTGAGGTGGTTACCCTCAATATCGGCCATCAAGTGGTCATCTATGTATGATTGCCACGACATGTTGATTGAATTTTTGGAAATCTAGTGGAGGAACAACAGTATTATTAGAACAATATATTAAATTTGATGGAAAATGGATAGAAAGAGGCTTATAGCGTCATAAAAATGGAATGGTGCGGTGATCCTTCAAACGATCCTCACTTTTTATGCTTGAAACCCACAGGATCTGGATACTGTGTAATCTCATTTCTGCCCTCTCAATTATTATTATTCTCCAATTTTTAAAAAAATTATTTGACCAAAAGTGAGTGGCAACTACACCTGTTCGATCTACTTTATCCTTTTCTTTTTCCTTTATTGGTACAATCTTTATGGGAGGTCGAAAGCATCAATCTTGGCTGGTGCTTGGGCAGGATTTGGTTCATCAGTTCAAACGAGATAATTGCTAAAGGATTCTAGATACGAATTGCCGACGCCTGAAATGGAGAAATAGTTTGCCATGTTTGGTTCAGATAAAAATCAGGGTTTTGATATAGTCCCCGTTTGGCTCCATTCTTTTCAAATTTTAATGGTTAGAATAATATTTTTTGAAAAATGTGTGGTTGAAAAATAATGAAAAGTTTTTATTCGCATGTAATATTATTTTATGGAATATCGTGTGATTGAAAATAAGATAGAGAAAAAGAATGAAAAGGAGAATGGAGGTCAAACGGGGACATATTTTCATCAAATTTGGTGAAATTGAGGTTAAAAACTTAGAACATTAATGATATGCAATGCTCCAATTAACTTAAAGAGTTATATCATGTAGATTTTTAGAATAATTTTTGTGAAAATGAGAATATATGGTTAAAAAAAGGAAAAATTTCGTGCAAGATTCGCAAGCATATGGAATCATTGACAAGTAATATATTTATTAAGTTAAGAGTTATCGTCCCAAGGAGAATAAAGTTCAATTCAAGTTTATTAGTTATGCATTAAATACGAATTATGTAACAAAGAGAGAGAGAGAGAGAGAGAGAGAGAGATATTTTGATTTATTTTCGTTAAATTAATTTAAGAAAGCAATAAAATTTTGGTTTATATTAAATTATAGATGATTATATTGGATTTCGAATTTGTCTATTGCTATCTATTTCAATTTTTGATTTATAATCTAATTTTGTTCATACATTTTTTACAATCTGTTGACCCCAAAAAGTGCACCAACAAATGCCGGTCCCACCCACACTTGCGTGGGCGAATGTCCAACACGCTAAGACACGTGGACGGTCTAAAACGAGCAGTTCAAAGGGGCGTGGGAGTAGCCCAACGACGCGGGACGGTGACATTCGGAATCCGACGGGTTGTTCGTAATCCGATTGTACAATAATTATCAATCGGTGCTCGTGAATGTATATGTAAAAGTGTATAAACTCGATTTGTGTATTACAAATAAAATGAGAGAGTTGAGTAAATGTAGTTTTAAGTATTGATTCTAGCCTTAGCCTTTGACATTACACAATGGAAGTATTTATAGTGATACATGTGAAATGGGAGCCCTTGGATGAAGTGGCACGTGAACTCATCTCTTTAGTTCAAACGTCTTTTCCTAGGTATGAGACTTGACTTGCTAGCTTACGCCGCATTTATTGCTTGCGCAGGTCCTCCATACTGGTGACAAGACTTGACCTTTATGCTTGCGACAAACGTTCCATCAATCATTCGAATAAGATCTCTGAGCAGGCGATCTCTTGGGAGAAGTGACTGTGGAGGAAGCTCCTTGTGGTTAAGAGGCTCGTGCATCAGCTTCGGGGCTTCGACCATATGACAAATACTTCCACTTGAGGATCTCAGCTAAATTCAACAGGTTCCTTGCTTCGGGTCGTGGGGTTCGGTAGTTGGACTTCGGCAGAGTACATCGGATCGAGGAGCCTCAGCGGATGGACCTCGGCTTGAAGCACTTCGGATATAACCCACCTCGATAGGAATGCCACGTGGATCAGGATGAGTGGGCCATTAGCCCAGGTGGGTAAGACAGGTGTGACAACACGCAACAATAGTCCCCCAAGTCCAAGTATAATCAATAATGTAATGTGTGGACTTTAATGGAGTAAAAGTTGAAAGAATTTTTGAACCCCAAATACAATCGTTAAAGTAAATGCATTTAATTTCTTTTTCCAAGACAAATTAATTTTATCTCAACCACAACTTGAATCTATTCCTAACCTGCATTCGAATGGTTAGAACACATTAAATTTTAGATTATCTATATGATTGTATAGGTGATAAATGTTATTCATAACATCTATTGCACATATGTTCATTTTGTTGCATAATAAACTTATTGTGAGTCTCCTAACACTACAACAAACAACTAATTATTTAATTGGTGACCGATCAATTAAAATAATGCAATAAGTATACAAAATTAATCAAGAAGCACATGAATTAAACTAAACTACTAACCTTGAATTAGAAATAAATAACAAATATAGTTCATCTTCATCCAATACAAAGAGAATCTAGTTTAGCATATTAATATATAAGTTATAAGAAGAATGATGGAAAAATATAACCCTGAATCATGAAAGACTACAAAAGATGTTGATTTTCAAGTCCAAGGTCGAAATTTTCAAAATCTTGATGTAATTGAATTTCAATTCCTTGCTAGAGCTTGATCTTCTCCTTCAAAAGTGATGAATTGACCTGTTGTTTTGATAAATTTAATAAAACTATTGTGTATGAAGAGGCAAGAGAAGTCTTTTCAATGTGTAGCCCTCGTTTGTATTTATAAGAATCTAAAAATAGGTCAAAATCATGTCCACTTGAGGTTTCAAAAGAGTTTGAATCACAAAAAGAAACTATTGATTCGTTTACGGGAAAAAGACCCTGCGAGCACATAGGCAAAACTACCTCGTGCGCACAGGAAAAACTATCGCTTGCGCGCCATTGAGCCAAGTGGCTCTTGGGTAAAAAATTTGGGGTCTTGCGCTGCGACAGATTTGTCTCCGTGCATCCCCTGATCAGCAACTTTCGATATTTTGATTATAATTTCTTCTCTCAATATTTGATTGAGGTTATTCATTATGCGTTGAAAAGTTAACTCAAAGAGCTACAAAGTTTCCATAATACAATTTTTCCAATTCTAATGTTTTCTATCCAAAAATTGGGTTTCAAATTGAGACTAAAAATTCGGAGCATAACTTGTTCGGTTGGAAATTGATTTGTGAAAATATTTCAACTCTGATGCTACCAAAAAGTGTACCTGATATATCTCAAACTGAAAGGCTTGAACATTGAGCTTGAGGGTTGAGGATGAGAAGGAACAAAATCTCTTGATACCTGAAACAAGACATCAAAGCGTGTTCTCGTCGTCCTTTCAATACTTAAGTTAGACAGGGAATTTTTATGAGAATATATGCTGAAATTACATGTAAAAATGGAGCGGAATAATGAGTCTTGGTTGAGTATTTATAGATGTTGGTAGTAGAGTTGTGGTAGGATTTAACCATCTACAATTCTTATTCTCATCGTGTATGGTGTTTGTTTTAGAGTTAAAGCTTCCTACCTGAGTTTTGATCAAACCGTTATAAGCTAATAATGTGGATAAGGGCCATTAGGAACCATAGTCGAAATAGGATTAGTATTTCATTGAGAGAATAGCACCCAGAGACTTATGGCCCGACCTCAAGGTCGATGGAATTGAGAAAGGATGAGGTCGGGCCAACAAGGTCGAGTTCGGGTGTCAATTTGTCCACGTACCATCAAACTCTATTTCACTCCTTTGACCTCCAATTGCATCCAATTGATTCTATATGATCTTCAATCATCATTTCATGGTCCGAATCAACTATTGAATATTTACACTTTGGTCCCCAAACTTCGACTTTCTTTTGTTTTTGCCCTTTTTCATTCATTTTCTTCCAATGTAATCAATTTGCATTGAGTTCAATCTAAAAAACATAATTAACACATAATTAAGCTATAATTCATACAAATCACTAACAAATACTCCAATTTATTGACCTAAATTTGTCCACGTACCATCAAACTCTATTTCACTCCTTTGACCTCCAATTGCATCCAATTGATTCTATATGATCTTCAATCATCATTTCATGGTCCGAATCAACTATTGAATATTTACACTTTGGTCCCCAAACTTCGACTTTCTTTTGTTTTTGCCCTTTTTCATTCATTTTCTTCCAATGTAATCAATTTGCATTGAGTTCAATCTAAAAAACATAATTAACACATAATTAAGCTATAATTCATACAAATCACTAACAAATACTCCAATTTATTGACCTCAATAAGTATACAAAATACACTTATCAATCAACGTGCAAAATTATTTTATTGAAAAAACGTGTAGCTAAATATGAGTTTGAGAAAAAATGAGTTTCAAAGAATCTCAACCAAACAGTAACTTAGCCCCCGTTTGATAACAATTTTAATCTAAATTAAAGTTAACAATGAATTTTAACAATATATTTTATAAGATCTACATCTTTTCAACCACATATTTTTTCATCAACTTTTATCAAAAATCTACTAAAAACCTGATTTTAATCCCACAAAATAGGGGCTTAATGCTGATGCTATTGTAACACGAGACCAAATATCCTAGCTAAGTGCTAGAATAAGGAAGAGGGAGATAATTGTAGCCTTCTCGAAATCACTTAGTGGAAATGACACCGTAAACTAGTGAATGCACATAATAGAATTTGAATCATATTATAGCAACACGGAGAATGTTGTTCTTCGTCCGAGCTATCATGACCTAAAAAGCGTTGTAGTACTGAATATTGTTGAACAATGTCATCTTTTTGAAACCTAAAGTTCACCCCATATTAGGCGTGATGCTAATGATGTAAACATGAAATGACTAATCTTGAGGCAAGCTCATGGGTCAATAGATCCTCAACTTTATTTTATGTGCTTTGACTATCGATATGAATGAATAAATGTTCTTAAATTTTGCCTTTAAATATGTACAATCTTTTTAACCTCTTCAAAATAAAAAATTAAAAAAATAAAAATAAAATAATACACACACACACACACTAGAAATATGGAAAAAAATACATTTAAGAATATGATCGATGATGATTCACATTTAAGGACAAGCTACGTGGATGTCATTTGAACAATTTGGAAAACAGTGAATTTAGTTAACCTGCTAAATGTCATCCGATATAGGACTTAATGGTCAAA